CGGCCCATCTGTACTGCTCATACTTATATGTCTACACAACCATTCCAACGTTGACAGTTCCAGGTCTAAAATTATAAAAATTGTATTAGAGAGAAACAAAATTAAAAATCACTGATCCGCATAACACTTGTGAACTTTGTATGCATTTACGAAAGTAATGAATGATTAGAATAGATGAAAATTAAAGTAGTGCAACTTTTTTCTTCGTGCACATTTCAAAGAAAAAAAATACTTCATGATAAATAATTCTGCGGACCTGGATTTTTGTCCAGAAGCTTCATAAATTGTGTCCTCTCGTATTCGGATGAATGCTTCTCAACAATAGAGCGATTAACTTGAACAAAAAAGTTAGCCATATCCAGTTTCATTAAATCCAAAAGTTCACATACGCCTCTGCAAAATTTCATCCACACCACAGCATCTATTTACCTCAATTAGGTATCATGAAAACCCATGTTTTGAAAATAAACTTACCTCAACATATCTACATTATCTGTCTTATTGCGCAAATCATTCACCAATTTGTCTCTTGCTGGTGCACAGAGTCTGCTCAGGAGTTCAATAATATTTTCAAATAACTGACGTACGTCTAAGCAATTATTTTCAGCTTGCTGCCTTAATAAGTCAATATCCAGCATGCATTCTATTTCAGAACGCAAACGAACATGCTGCCGCGTCAGCAGATCCAATATCATCTGTAAGGTAAAACATAAAAATAGAAAATAAGGAAAGCTGCAATTAAAAATCAATACCAAAGGTATTTATGTTGTTAATTCTAGCACGACATTTCGATAAGCCTTAGTATACTTTTGTTGACTTGATGCTTACGATTTCAGAATCTGTTCCAGATTGAAAATTATCGAAAAATTGCTACAAAGGCGGTAATTTAGAAAATTTGAACAATTGTTTTAAATGTGAATTTACCACTTTGCTTTCTCTTTTTTGCGTTTATAAGTTAGTATACTTATATAGATTTCTCCTATAAATACACAAGGCAATAGCAATAGCTAAGCATATAAAAATAACCTTTTTGATATCATCAAGCAAAACCAGGGCATAAGAGTAATCTGGTGGTACCCGAGCAAGGTCTTCACGCAGTTTATCCCAGTAAGCTTTTTTCATGCAATCTTCCACCGCTTGTTCTACTAAATTCGCTGAGTTTCTCTCGATTACAAATTCAGGATTGACCGCAATTTCATGTACTAACGCCATATTTTCCAGTGCTACTGACATCTTCATTAATTCATCCATACTTACAAATTTGGCTGGTGAAGTACCTGCAAAAGAATATACTCAACATAGAGATTTTAAGAGAAAAATATACCTCTCTCTCTCTTCCATGAGAACGAGCGTTAAACTACTCTCGCCTTGACGTTGACGAACCCGTTAAGAATAGTTAAAAGGACAAATTTAGGTTACAATTCCTAGATGAAATTAAATTAAAATTTTTTTATTCCACAAATGACCAAAATGAGAGGAATCTCTGAGCAGCTCAAAAATTTGCTTAGAGATTCCTTTCATTTTAATCTCTAACATATCCATTAAGAAAAATTCGGACAAACTAAAATGAAAGTTTCAACATGAAAGCCTTAGCTTTGCCAAAACACTAATTTCATCGCAAAGCCTTACCGGCCACCCATGTGGGTAAAACAGCAGTGCTGGCAACAATAGGAATGTCAAGACCGCTTCTTTTTCGTTTAGTAGCGGTACTAGTTGAGCTAGATACATCCTCTAGTAGAACAGCAGATTCTATTTTCGAGTCATCATTTGGAAAATTATTGTTTTCAACTTCCTTCTCTTCATCCTCACTTGACATTATTCAAAGAATTCCTCGAGAAGTTCCTAAAAACAAACTGATAATTTCATGCAGGAGCCCCATTTTTAAGGAACAGTTTCACATATATAATTTAAAAAGAACTGCGCAACATTAATAAATTTTGTGCATTTAGAAACTAAAAGTGTCACATGGAAATGCGAGAAGGAATGAAACTGATGAAGTCAATTACAGAAACGAGCTAGTGCAAGAAATATTTGAGAAATTCATAGTTTATGGATCTAAATGCAACGAAAAATTACAGAGAACTGTCCTCTTTCTTTCTTCAACTCTTTCCATATATACTGTACAAGGAACTCTTCGGGTCAAAGAGCGATAAAGAAAGTAAAGTATGGTTAGCCATGATGAGAAATTTAGTAAGCTATATAATTCTTAGATGTTTATGCTTAGAATACTTCAGATTTTGCAAATTTCACGAATTGAAACATTCCTCTCAAACTATTCTTGTCTCGATGAATTTGAAAACATTTCCTTTTCTTGCACCGTCATCATGGAAATATCCGGAATACTCCATCACCAGCCCCTTCCTGCACTTCCCGCATCCTAGAAACACATAGAATATCTCACCACCCATTATTTTTTCCAATAGGCTCCTTAATTTGATAGGATGGGACGCGTTAAATTTTGAAAAATGAGGGGGAGGAAGTAGAGGTTGATTTGCATTCCGTAGAGTTGTGGTGTTTCCGAGAGGCCCCTAGCTGAACTGATTTGATTATCAGAGTGATAAGAGGCGTTTAGGAACTGAATTGAGACGAAACTGAAGTGAGAGAGAAATTGAAGTGAGGCGATTGGTCGCCCCAGTAGTAATGAATTTTGAATTGAGCAGCACGAAACGTATGTTTGTTACATTTCTTTCATTTATTACATCCTGTTTTTTGATCTTTTCCACTTCACATGGACTGTATACCAGTACTCTTTTTTTATGGATAAATAATCTACTGACGATATTATTAATAGCTAACACTCTCACGCTTAACTTCAAATGTTGTATGATATATCAGTGGCAACCAATTGTGTTTGAGACGGCATGAAACATGAAATATGCTGATTTATGAAACAGCAATTCAATATGATTATTTATCACCTCATTATCTTTTCCGACGAGCTTCCTAATTTAATGTGACTCAACAGGAAACGTATTAATATTTTGGTAAATAACTAGTAGAGTACTTAATATTTTGCTAGGGAATAACTAATGAAGTGTAAGATCCATATAGAGCCGTAGTTAGTCTACTTTATTCATTTGATTGTTCAGTTCTCAATTGGTTGGCTGGTAATTTTTTCAGAAATTGGTATTGGATTGACATTATTCGGTGTTACATTTTTCACACTTGGTATTATTCTTTTTCTGGATGGAGCATTGCTCGCTATTGGAAATGTTAGTTCAGTTATTTTGGGTCATTTCTTTGAAGCATAAGAACGCAATATATTAGCTTACTTCATGTCATTTCAGCTGTTATTTATAAGCGGATTAGTATTGGTAATAGGAATCCAGCGGACAGTGGCATTCTTTTTTCAAAGGCATAAAGTCAAAGCATCTTCATTATTTCTCGGCGGGATTATTATTGTATTATGTGGTTGGCCGTTGTTGGGAATCGTTGCCGAAATCTGGGGCTTTTTTCTTTTGTTTGGGTAAGTTCTTTTTTGACAATTTTTTATTCATTTTCATATAAAACTAATCTCCATCTGTTTATTTCATGAATATTAATAGGATTTGAATTTTAATTCCTCCTAAATCTTGTATACATATGTTTTATTTTAAATTTTTCCTACTTCCACAATTGACTTCATACATAAAACTTATTATAAAGCACCCATTGAGTTGAACTGAGCATGTTTCATCTGTGGCTACAGCAATTTTCTCTTTTTTCATAAGAGATCGAAAGTAGATTATATATTGTATTCTTAAATCGTTTTACACATCGATTTTCTATATTCAAATATGACTAAATTAGTGTTGATTTCAGTGGTTTTTTACCGGTTGCTGCAAATTTTCTTCGACAAGTTCCCATTATTGGTAGTCTTTTATGCCTACCGGGAATATCACAGGTATTTTTCTTTTTTCTGGAGCAACGAAATAGTTTTCAATTCGTCAGCTGTGTTAAAAACACCGTCATGTGGCTCTGGTTTTGTCCTTAAGGTATAAAAGAAACCAAGTATAAAGTTTCATATATATATTTGTTGACTTAAGATCTTCATCTTTAATCTTTAATCATTAGTTAAGAGCGAATTAAGCGAATTCAGGACGGTGTTTTCATTTTTTATTCAAGTAAGGTTTGCAGATTTTGGATCGTTTAGCACCTGAAAGTCGATATCCAGTTTAGGTTTATCTGAATTGAAATGATTACATATTCGTCAATCTCATTATGCTTTATGGTAAGAATCGAGCTGTTCAGAATTAAATCTTGAAAGAATTTTGAAAAATGAATTTTATAATTTGCCATTCTTCATTTTATAATTTGTCATTCTTCACTGTTTATATTTACAGCTTAGATATCGCCAAATTTTCTAATTAACTTCACACAAAAATTTTTGGGAATAGCCTTGCAATAGCTTACTGCTCAATGCTTTTTGTGTATCAATTTTTAGTAAATGATGCGGAGTTTTGTTGTTAACATCATTCTTCCCGAAGTGGTTTTGTTTTCAAAATTTTGTGGTTATTTTTTGTTTCGAATTTGGATTCTAATATTTGTTTCTGTTCTATCACTCAATTCAGTGATTCCTTTAGGCAAACATCTTTTGGCTTGTACAAAAGAATTTAAAAACGGTTTGTTCACTTTCCTGTGGTTATTTCGTTGTTCATATCAAAATGGCCGACTTGTAACATATATTACGAATACAACTTGTAATTTGGTGTCACATAATGAGATTTTTTGGAAAAAATGCAGATTTATCACATTTTTCAATATTTTCATTTTCCAGAAAAGTGCACAGAAAGTCTGTTTGAACCTTAATAACAAGCATTAGCCATTTTTTCTCGTCCTAACCAGAAACGAATCGATCTGCCTCTTAGTGTTGCTTTTAATTAAATCTACAGTGTTTTGCTAGAATTAGTTCGGGCAGCGTCTTTTTTCATTTGCAGTGTAATACTTTTCACTATTAGGTCTAATAAAATGAGCGATGTGGAGTAGGATATAATCTTTCCAGAAACAATTTAAATCATCCTTATATATTTTCACTGCTGTTACTGACCGCAACATGACGTATCATTTCGAATTATAGAAAAGGATATGGTTTGGTTGGTTGTTCTAGAAATATTGTGTGCTTAGTTTCTTCCAGTTAATATAAGTGAATTTTTCCGGAGATATTTTGTCTAAGCTATCAATTTTTGTCGAGATTTACTTCTGTATAATTAGATTCGGAACAGTTTTTCTGCGACATGTGAAAGGATTCTGAAATATGAAACTCTGTTGGAAACTTCTGTTCATGTGCATAATAAAATATGGAACAGACAAAAAAACAAAGAAATAGAGAATGCCAAATAATTTGGTCTTATGTTCTTCTGACATCAAAATTTGTTTTCGTAAAACATTTTGTTGAGATCTCATTATAATATTTAAATATCACTAGTTTTCTTGATTCGATTTTAGTCCACATTCCATTTCACCTGCACTTTTTTAACAAAAATATGTTTGGGAATTGTTGAATTCTTTGCATGCGGACGACCTAATCAACGAATTTCTAAAAAAACTTTTATTAAATATAGAGAGAAATGTCAGTTTACGCTTAATATTCCTCATGTAAAAATGACATCAGTTACATTTAAATGGTTGATTGGAGCAGTTGCAAGCATTACTTTTTGTTTTTGTCTCACAGGTAATCCAAGTTCACCTTGTAATTTCAAGTGCAGTACGAGACAGCTTCAGAGAAGATCAAAGCATGCGTGGAAGACAGGAAATTTCTAGCTCAATGACATGGTGTCGTTTATCAGCCTAAACTCATTTGATGGGTTCTTCGGATCACATCACTAATGTTCCAAATTTTTCATTGTAATAGCATTAAAAGTTAACTGAAATATTTATATTGGAAATAATGAGTATTTTTTTTGTACTTTAAATAATAGCATTGAATACATTCACCAAATTGAGAAGTGGGAAAGGAAGATTCTATTGCTCAAATGAAATATGAGTAAGAAAACAATGAATGGTTAACTTTCAGTTTGAAAAGTTATACTCGTCTTTAGTAAAATGCTTTTAATAGAGAAAGCAAAATGATTTCAACTGTTTTTCATCATTCTTTTTTTGAAAATGCAATTCCATAGTTGTAGAGGAATTTTTTTGCTCTATGGATGGGTGAATGATTTGACAGCTGCTTCATCTTAGTTTTTTAAATTTAGCCAAAAAGAGCAAAATTCGAAGTGAGAAAAAAGAACTTTTACATTTCCTAAATATTTTGCAGAAATGGCGAAGTGATAAATTTTTCTTCATATATCATCAAAGAAGTTTATACGTTAATGGTGGATATTTAATAAATGTAATAGGATTAATGAAAAATTAGTAGTACTATGGTAAGATAATGAGAATTAGAAAGAGTTGAGCTAATAATACAGAAATGAGAGAGTGAAAAAATTTTTTCAAATATCTTTTAATTTGGCGTAATTCAATTTAACCAAATTGTAGAATATTTTTGATGGGATAAATTAGATTAGAACAAAAACAAAAATTCATTCTATCTAATTTGATTCAATGGAAAAATAAAACAAGTCAAAATATTGAATAGGAATATATAATCAATGTGTTGTCATCATTTCAGTTCATTGTTACTTCAAATTAATATATAGAAAAATAGGATGAATAGTATTCAAATAATAAAAGAAGATTGAATGGAAATTAAATTAGGCTAAATGGGTGAGTGAGTGAAAGTTAAATTTGGCTTAAGTGAGGAAAATGTAGCATTCTGTGATATATGAATATTAAGCATGCAAATTGTTAAGTATTATTTATTGTATTTCATTTCATTCCTAAAATATCCAACATTGTTGAATGTTGCATTATTACTCATTCATTTATTCTATCGTTATTTTGAAATATCTATTTGTCAAGAATGAAAAAAAAAGAGGATAGTTTGAGCTGTCTCCATATACTTCATTTATTTCATTCATTGACTTGTGTCTTATAATCAATTTTGGAAAAGCGACAAAGAAAATTGATAGTGAAAAATAGGAAACAATTGCCTAATAATTTTTAGGCCTATTCATTTCATTCATCCATTCAATCATATTTATTCATTAGAAAAAAATATTTCAAATATTTTTCGTTGATAAAAGGAATCATTATTTTTTTTGTTTTTCATATAAAAGTTAATTATGGATGGGCCTACTTAAAAGAAAAGGAAAAACTCGGATATTCATTTTATTTTGTTTTTCAAACTCTAGCATTTCTAACTAATGACGTATTATTGTTACGAAGAATAATACATTGTTTGACTGACTGATAGATAGCATTAATGCAGGCAGGCGCTCTTGACTGAAATATGCAAAAAGCGCTTAAATAGTTCTATTTACCGATATAAAGAATAGTTCTCTAATTAATAACTTTATTTTAAATAAACTTTTATTGTTATTTATTTGCTAAATCACATTTTGCAACAATCTTTCCTTTTCAATTTCAAATTAACGATCAGAAAAAAAATTAAAATATAAATTTGTTCCTTTCAATCTATCCTTTTAATCATTTCAATTGTTTATTTATTTATTAATAATTTTTCCATTCTTCTTTTTTCATCTTAGCAAAATGTAACAAATATTGTGATATAAACTTTTCCAAAGCTCAATTTCTATTATAAAATTACTTTTTCACTCTTCCAATTCATTCTTTCATTCTTTTCTACAGTATTTTTTTTAGTCTATTTTTTCTTTTCCATTTTGCTAGTTGTATAAACAAGCTGGTAGGAAAACTTTTTTCGGATACATTATATTGGTTGAAGAGTAAGCCGAAAATTCTCATTCATAGCTAGGCATGGTTATAATTTTCTTTTCTTTTGTTAGAAAACTTTATCAGTGTAAATAGGCTATACTTAACATAATATTACACTTATAAGTATTTTAATGAATGATAACATTAAAATAGTGAATGGCTGTAGTGATTTATTCCTTCTTATCATGTGTGTGTGTGTGTATAAATATGTTATTGAAATTTAAACTAAGTAAATTTTCAACTTTTATTCAAATTCATTGAAAAAATTTGCACCTGTAGACATTTTAATCAATGATAATATTAAAGTAGTGGATAGCTGCAGTGATTTATTCCTTCTTATCATCTTTATATATATATATATTATTGAAATTTAAACCAAATAATTTTTGAACTTTTATTCAAATTTATAAAATAAAAATTTTACTCTATTAATTGATTACTATTAATTATTAATCACTTAAGTAATTATCTCTTAAAATTTAAAAGACTTCTAATCAAACGTTTTATTTCTAATTTCAATATTTTAACATTTTTCATAGTCTTTAATATGTATTTCTCTTTTTTCAAATAACTGCAAAAAATTTTTTTCAAACTCTTTCTATCTTTTTCCATTTGCTATTTGCATAATTTATGTTTCTATTTATCATTCTCTTCTCTCTCTTTTTTTTCAACTTAATGCTATCTCTCAAAAATTTGTTTATTACTTTTTTACAAACGATTTAATAGCAAAATCATTGATTACCCAAATAAACAAATGATTCTTTTTTAGAACTGTTTGATAATTATTGATATAATATTTTTAAGGATAGAAGAATAACGGCGATATATGAGAATTTGCTTTTTCTCTTTCCTTTAAAATTTTATTTCATTTGCATTCGTTGCAAAATGATATCTATCCTCTGACTTTTTTCTCTTTCAAAAATATTTTCCCAATAAATTAGAGATAGAATGAAGAAGAAGAAGAAGGAGAAAGAGAAGTAAAAAACAATGTGCCTAATAGAGTTCAGCTATTCGATTGTTTATCACCACCTGGTACGGAAATTTCTTTATTTGTTTTGATTTTGCTATATTAAACTTTAGCTATCAAACAAAGAATATAAGCTGGCTAATATGATTTTGGTATGATTTTGAAATATTTATATATATATATATATATATATCTATCAAAAAAAGAAAAGTAATTTATCTCATACGACAAATTATTTGTGTGACAATTTTTGGTTGATTTTGAAAGATGATGATATGTTTGTTGTTAACAAATAAACTAGCTAACAAATGCCCTATTAACAAATAAATATATTATGCCTTTTGATGACATTGAACGATGATGACATATTATTATCATTCATGATTTTCTTCCTAATCATCATCATCATTATCATAATCATCTATATACCTTTTGGTGACAT